ACAATGGATAAGGATTAGGCTCTAATTCATTGTGCATTCAATAATTCATCCTATGTATATTTCATCATAAAAGCCACTGTGTTAAGCATATATTTCCCTAATGGACAAATTAACAATGGGTTGCAAGGACAATTGTATTGCAAGCTGGGATGGGATGTGATTTTGAATCTAAATAAGGGGTCGTCTCACAGCTTTGATGTCACTTTAATTACTGACATTTAGGGTTTAGCAGGTTTGAAAGTTTTCTGACAAAGACAATATTTGCTTTTCAACTTGTAGTCCCAAGATTTAGGTCTTAAAAAAGAGCATTATAGGAATAGACTGAGTTGAATGACATGACAGTTACCTGTCAGTCAAACAGGTAAACTCTGAAGCACTGCTCTGTGCATAGGATACCCTGGTCGGAGTTGTAAGGTTATCTTCTTATTGTACTGAGCACTGTGTTCATACAGAAAAATTATTTTAGTGCTACCAGTTTCTGAAAAGAACCATTCATTCAAACCCCTCCCATTGGTATGAAATATGTACTTCTTAGGGTCCATCCATCGGTCTTTTTTAAAAGTTAATTGTCAAGCTGTATGTGTCTGGTATACCCCTGGTATTATTCACAAGGCTGGTCTAGCCTTGTGTTGGGAATTGGTTGAAATCTCACAATTGATGATTGCTTCATTACCAACGAACAATCTTGGAAAAAAATTGATTAGCGTCATTTTTCAGATTTTCCTACCTAGGTTGTTATTGCAGATACGTATAACATGATGCAACTTGCTACTTTAAAGTGCTGAGTAATATATCATGAACATAAACTTTCTGGAGTCTTGAAGAAATATTCAGTCATGACTTTTCAGTTAGCGAAGTGAGTTTTCTAAGAATTAAACAAGTTTTCAGGCCCTGACAACTTCGAAGATATGTTCCATCGTCAAGTGTTTTAAACACTAAAACAGCAGTTCCAAAATTGTTTGAGTTCAATTATGAGAAAATATGATTGATTGCTTGGTCGTTTGGTCACTTCGACCAATCTTCGATTATTTCAATTAATCGGAACACCACTAGTTGGAAGTAAGTGTCGGTGCCTCCAAGACTTTCTGTGAGTATGTCAACATTTTCAGGCATTGTCTCTACTTTCAAATTTTGTTCTACTTTCACCACTACTTGTTATACAGCAGTCATCTAGGTAATGTCTCATTCATGTTCTGTATTGTTGTAACAGGAGGTGAAATGTAATACTTGGATGTAATGTAAAACAATTTGTATGGCAATCTATGGAGATGAAACCAGCAGTGGGATATAACTCGTCTTTCAATAGTTCCCAGTGCAGATAGGTGCTATGAGGTCTTGTCTACTAGTAGTTCCAAGTGCAGATAGGTGCTACGAGGTCTTGTCTACTAGTTGTTCCCAGTGCAGATAGGTGCTACGATGCCTTGTCTACTAGTAGTTTCAAGAGCATATAGGTGCTACGATGCCTTGTCTACTAGTAGTTCCAAGTGCAGATAGGTGCTACGAGGTCTTGTCTACTAGTAGTTTCAAGTGCAGATAGGTGCTACGATGCCTTGTCTACTAGTAGTTCCAAGTGCAGATTAGTGCTACGAGGTCTTGTCTACTAGTAGTTCCAAGTGCAGATAGGTGCTACGAGGTCTTGGCTACAAGTAGTTCCGAGTGCAGATAGGTGCTACGATGTCTTGTCTACTAGTAGTTCCAAGTGCAGATAGGTGCTACGAGGTCTTGTCTACAATTAGTTCCAAGTGCAGATAGGTGCTACAATGCCTTGTCTACTAGTAGTTCCAAGTGCATATAGGTGCTACGAGTTCTTGTCTACTAGTAGTTCCAAGTGCAGATAGGTGCTACGAGGTCTTATCTACTAGTAGTTCCAAGTGCAGATAGGTGCTACGAGGTCTTGTCTACAATTAGTTCCAAGTGCAGATAGGTGCTACAATGCCTTGTCTACTAGTAGTTCCAAGTGCATATAGGTGCTACGAGTTCTTGTCTACTAGTAGTTCCAAGTGCAGATAGGTGCTACGAGGTCTTGTCTACTAGTAGTTCCCAGTGCAGATAGGTGCTACGAGGTCTTGTCTACTAGTAGTTCCAAGTGCAGATAGGTGCTACAATGCCTTGTTTACTAGTAGTTCCAAGTGCAGATAGGTGCTACGAGGTCTTGTCTACTAGTAGTTCCAAGTGCAGATAGGTGCTACGATGTCTTGTCTACTAGTAGTTCCCAGTGCAGATGGGTGCTACGAGGTCTTGTCTACTAGTAGTTCCAAGTGCAGATCGGTACTCACGATGCCTTGTCTACTAGTAGTTCCAAGTGCAGATAGGTGCTACGAGGTCTTGTCTACTAGTAGTTCCAAGTGCAGATAGGTGCTACAATGCCTTGTCTACTAGTAGTTCCAAGTGCAGATAGGTGCTACGAGGTCTTGTCTACTAGTAGTTCCAGGTGCAGATAGGTGCTACAAGGTCTTGTCTACTAGTAGTTCCAATTGCAGATAGGTGCTACGATGTCTTGTCTACTAGTAGTTCCAAGTGCAGATAGGTGCTACGAGGTCTTGTCTACTAGTAGTTCCAAGAACAGATAGGTGCTACGACGTCTTGTCTACTAGTAGTTCCAAGAACAGATAGGTGATACGACGTTTTGTCTACTAGTAGTTCCAAGAACAGATAGGTGATACGACGTCTTGTCTACTAGTAGTTCCGAGTGAGGAAAGGCGCTATGAAGCAGATTATCTTTTTTATTGCCAATTTTGTGTTATTTCGCCCTATTTTCAAAATTATGCTCTATTACTTTACTTTCATCAATATATGTGTACCCATGTTTCATGTACATGAATGCATAGCGAAAGTGATGGAGCAAAAACTTCATGCCGTGGAACTAGTAACATTACTCTTTTCAATGTGAAATTTCAGATGCTTTTGCTCCACTGATTACCTCAGGGCTTGAGTTACTGCTGGCATCTGATCTTTGCTCTTTATTGTATATACTGGATGAGAGTTGTGAGTCCTTATTAAGTCACAATAACACTCGTGACAGTTTTGTCCAGGCTCTTCCTCCTGATGAGGGGCGGTTGGGTAGCCTAGTGGTTAAAGTGTCCGCTCGTCACGCTGAAGACCCGGGTTTCCCACATGGGTACAATGTGTGAAGCCCATTTCTGGTGTCCCCGCCGTGATATTGTTGGAATATTGCTAAAAGCGGCGTAAAACCTGATGATACTCACTCATCCTCCGAGTGACCCCTCACTGAAGAGTTCCCTGGGTCAGTCATCCTCATGTGCTTGTAACTATCACTTAATCATTTCATTTTGATAATTGCTTGTCTGTTAAATGTTGATGACCGTTCATAAGATTAATGTACAAAGCATGAGACCCCCACCACAACTCCCACACTCATGCATGTCATGTACAAAATCAATGAACCCCGTGCTGACACCCACCCCCAGAACAAAACGGATGACCCCCCTTAAAATCGTCATCACCCCCTGGCCTTAATTTATGAACGATCCCTAAGTATATCTGTTTTTCTTTTCCTCTAATTGAAGACCATGATGAGAGTTTTATTTGGCTGATATGGCTATGTTGAGGTAATTCCATTGACCAGCTTCATGTATGTGTCTAGGAAATGTTCCAAGGGTTCCCCAGGTGTTATTGAACATATACTACCCATCAAAAGTTTAGACTCACTAGTGTAAATGTAGCCACTTACTTCAGTCAACTTTTCTAAAGTATATTTGCAAAATATTCCATACTGTTTAAAGATACTGTTTACACATGGACTGATGTATTGTAAAACAAATTCGTAACGTTGAAAAGATTATTGTCATGAGTTCCATAAATGTTGAAACTCAGTGAAAATTGAAGAATTCTTAACAAAACTTAACACCAGCTGTTCACATGCACCATATTTGCACATGCTTTCAGCAATTAGATGCATGATCCTCCTGCATTTCATCTGCATAAATTTGCAGTTGGTTCCCCCAAGTTAGTGAAGAAATTCATCTTCCATGTACCCACATATATATATATATACATAACATATAGTGAATACTTTAAGTGAGTCTAAACTTTTGATGGGTAGTATATTTCCTAATGAGGCACCGCAGACACTCAGTTTGAGCACTGAATTCACTACACTGATTACACTCTGTGAAAAGGCTAATCATACAAGGAAGAGTATTTGCTAATGAGTATTTCACTTACATACTAGCCTTCCAGTGATTAAGCTTTACAATGCAGTTTACATGTCAGTCATAGGTCAATATCACCTCGCCAGATACGTCATGCACTTTGTTGTACCTATTTTGGGCCCCGGACTGTGAAACTATTGCCCTGATTGAGCGTTGTTATCGTGACCAGGAGATAAGTTGTGTTCTCACCACCAGCAGTGTGTGATATAAGCTCGTATTTGACAAGATGGTGTTACGAGATGTGGTGTCTGCAGGGATTCATGTTGTCTCAGTAGGTTTGTCAAACATTGTTCTGTATTTACTCCCACGTGGAGATCCCGGCTAGAACTGCTAGGGATTGGTATAAGAGGCCACTAACTATATTTACTCCCACGTGGAGATCCGGGCTAGAACTGCCAGGGGTTGGTATAAGAGTCCACTAACACGATCAGGTGGACTGGATCACTGACTAGGTTGATGCATGTCATTGTAGCCAAATTTCTGTATTGATGCTCATGATGTCAATCACTGGATTGTCTTGTCTAGACTCGTCAGCGATTAAGGATCAGTTAAAAAATATAAATCATGTCCATTGCTGTCTAAAACCGATGATGCCACTTATTGGAATCTTACTGTTTATTAGCGATACAGGTGACATCTTCAGTTTAGTCTCAATGTGGGAAAAGCACACCAATCTATTGAAAAATGGTCTGTTTTCACGGAACTTAAATATAGTACCAACGGTATGAATGCATCATGTCAAAGTGCCTGACCATTACATCAGGCAGCACTGATGTAATCCTGGTCTTCCCTTCGAGTTTTGCCATTAATGAAATTGTTTTGTTTCAGATGCTGGCGCCAAGCTACAAGACAAAAACAGATGATTTTCGCAAAACATTCAAGGATATTCCTCATGAAGAACGCCTCATTGTCGGTAGGTTGTGTTTTGTGTTTTAGTCGGGTAGGTTGCTATTGTGTCCAGTTGTTAGAGACCGCCTCTGTGGTGTAGTGGTTAGAGCGTCCGCCCAGAGACCGGAAGGTCGCGGGTTCGATCCCCCACCGCGTCATACCAAAACACGTTAAAATATGGTACTTGTTGGTCCCTGCCTGGCGCTCGGCATTAATGGGTACAACAAGAACTGGTTGGCTCGGAGTCAGTATAATGTGTCTGAGTGGGGTATTCATGCTTCACTGCGGCATGGTATCTCAGTGAGCTAGCACTATAAAACCAGCTGAAGTCTGGGCTAGTACAAGCAGCCTCACATACACATACACACGCATGCACGTCGTCATATGAGCGAAATATTCTCAAGCACAACGTTAAACCCAATTTCACCTCACCTCACCTCCAGTTGTTAGAGCATCGGCCTGGATTCCCTTAGTGAGTGGTTCTGTTCCCTACCCACATCTGGGTCTGGAAGATAGGGCATCTGTCCAGAGAATGGAAAGTTGGTGGTTTGTTCATACAGAAGATATCAAAAGATTGGACTTGTGAAGGTCAGGGTTAGAATGAATCTTCAGTAACCCATGCTTGTCGTAAGAGGAGACTAACGGGATTGGGTGGTCAGGCTCGCTGGCTTGGTTGACATATGTCATCGGTTCCAAATTACGCATATCGATGCTCATGCTGTTGATCACTGGATTGTCTGGTCCAGACCTGATTATTTACAGACTGCCGCCATAAAGCTGGAATATTGCTGAGTGCGGTGTTAAACTAAACACTCTCACTCACTCACTCACTCACTCACTCACTCACTCACTCACTCACTCACTCACTCACTCACTCACTCACTCACTCACTCACTCACTCACTCACTCACTCACTATTAAAAGATGGTACTTGGTGTTAGCCCACTGGTTACCATGGTGTCCTCCTGCCAGTTGACTGGATAACACAAGCCTGCTTTGCTAACTGTCAGTATACTTTATTGACAGTAGTGAGTGACCTGGCTCAACTCTACCAATCTAACTCTGATTCATTTCCCAGTGGACATCAGTATGTCATGTGATTACACTGTCAATCAAATTGAGAGTTACATAAGTACATTTGGGGCAATTTTTCAATGTCTAAAAAGTCAAATGTTAAATGGGACGGTAATATCATTGGGTCTTCCTGACAGATTATTTGTACATGATAGATGGATCACTGAAAGTAAGCATACACTTGTAGAGAGATTGCTCTTCTTTACAAACGAGTGAGTGAGTATGGCTTAACGCCGCTTTTAGCAATATTCCAGCAATATCACGGCGGGGGATACCAGAAATGGGCTTCACACATTGTACCCATGTGGGGAATCGAACCAGATCTTCAGCGTAACGAGCCAACACTTTAACTACTAGGCTACCCTACCGCCCCACCTAGCAAAAGAAATCCTGCAGCTCCATAGTGATTCATGCATCATGGAATTTGCTCATGTGAGGCACTGTTTCCATCAGTAGATAAACGCCAACAATTACTTCAGTCCTTTATCTATTGTAAACTGTGGCATTGTTTCTTAGTGGACAAGAGTACAAAGCGGCAATGTAAGTGGAATAATCTTGAAAACAATGTAAATCCCTACTCTACTTCCCCAATTTGTGAGGCTCAGAGCACATGGCTTTCCTGTGTGTTGTGAAGGAGAACAGGAACTCCCTTGAGCAGTCTCTAACATGCTGTTGATCACAGGGTTGTCTGGTCCAGACTCGATTATTTATAGACCGCCGCCATATAGCTGGAATATTGCTGAGTGCCACGTGAAACTAAATTCACTCAGTCTCTAACAAGTGTTCCGGCCCAAACTTCTCTCTTGCCATCAGAGAGACTAAACAGACAACCAAGTCCAATGATGGTAAGCGTTCGATCGTCACGCCAAGGCCCGGGTTCGAATCCCCACTTGGGCACAATATGTGAAGCCCATTTCTGGTGTCCCCCGCCGTGATGTTGCTGGAATATTGCTAAAAGTGGCGTAAAACCAAACTCAGTCAGTCCAATGATGGTAGTCCTCATTGAGTGCAAGCATTTGAGGGCTACAGCTCTGAACCAGTTCTCATTGCTTCAATTATACTACAACCTGGATCTGAATAAGACTGAAAACGTACACAAGCAGAACCAGCTGCAGACTTAGTCTGTCTGACAGTACCTGAAGCACATTATTTTCGCTTCTGCCAAGCCCTTTCTGCAGTGTTAAAGCCCTAAAGCAAGTCTAGATGTCCCCAGGTTCTGAATCTCCCATCTCACCGGGGCTCCTTTTCAATGTGAAAGGAATTATTTGTTACTATCAAAATTATATGTATTCAGGAACTCTGAACACTACTGACATACTGAAATAAGATGTATACAGTACAATGGGTATGACTTTAAGAAGATGACATTTGACGTGGTGTGATTGTGTTTCAGATTACTCGTGTGCGCTGCAGAAGGACATCCTGGTGCAGGGACGGATGTACATCACACAGAACTGGATCTGCTTCTACGCCAACATCTTCAGATGGGAGACTGTGGTTTGTGAAACTTGTCTTTACAAACTTTTCTTGCAAACATGCCTCCTGTATTACATGACAGGGGGCGGTGGGGTAGCCTAGTGGTTAAAGCGTTGGCTCGTCACGCCGAAGACCCGGGTTCGATTCCCCACATGGGCACAATGTGTGAAGCCCATTTCTGGTGTCCCCTGCTGTGATATTGCTGGAATATTGCTAAAAGCGGCATAAAACTAAAAACTCAGTCAGTATTACATGACAGACATTAGTCGTGTTTGTGGGCTATCATGAAACTATAGCATGTTTAAATTTTCCATGGAAGTGATATTCACTACCAACTAAACTTTAAGAAAGTAGGACAGTTTATGTTCACCTATGCGGAAACTTGCTTTTCTTAAATATTGTCTGTATAAATGAATTTCTGGATACCAGAGGTGCAAAAAATAGCGACACTTTATTGTATAATGCATAAGTATATATGTGTGTTATGCTCATTAAAAACAATAAAATATGAAATTCTACCAAATTTTTACATTCCATTACGGTATACCGAACCAAAGGCAAAATACTGTGGTATACCCTTTCCCCCCAACCAACACTGGATTGTAATGGGGTTGTACTTAACAAATTATTTTTTGAAAAGTTTATAAAAATTTACGTGTTCTTGAAAAAAACCCAAAAAACCAAAACAATAAAAGGCAGTTTGATGTGAAGGAATGAAGGATCGCAATATAAATTTGAAATTTGAAACAAACTATGTTGGAAGTAGCAATCAGTTGGACACACCTTTTCTGCCAATGTACCAGTGAGTCAGTGGAAATTATTTTTTATAACACAAGGAAGTTTGATACAATGTAAAGAATACATTGTGTCTAAAACGTATTTGACATCAGAAACAATATATTCCAGTATTTTGTTACTTTAGTTACAGTGTTTACAATATATCTATCTGAAATAACCATTCATTTGAATACAATTTGTGTATAACCAGTTTTTGTGTAATGACATTAGTAGATTAACCAGACCAAATGAAAGGCCCCCCTTATGTTGCTTGCGTAGTTGTTGTCCGCTTAGTGGGACACAAGACTGTTAAACAAAATGTGAATCCTGGAAACATTTACAAGGGTCAAACCATCACTGAATTGTCTTGTGTATAATACATCATTATAAGTAAATATGGAGCAGTGTAGAAGGAAGTGTATAGAAGAGCGGAAATTACAGTGGTGTAAATAATCTATAATCATTTCTATTTTGCTTGCTATTTCCTGTTTGTTTTGAGCTGAAAGTATGTAGTTTTTAACTTAGCATTGTATCCAGGATACGTGCTATCTTGTGTTCTAAGGGTACTTACTAGGGTAGCCTAGTGGTTAGGGCAGTCACTCGTCACGCTGATGACCTGGTTTTTTATTCCTCACATGGGCACATTGTGTGAAGCCCATTTCTGGGTCCCTTGTCGTGATGTTGCTGGAATATTGCTAAAAGCGGTGTAAAACCCAACTCGCACTCTCAATCACTCTTCAATAGGAGGGAAGAACACAATGAAATATTTTTATATGAAAATGCTCAATGATGTAACATCATAGCTTCCACTTATTTTCTTGAGGAGTAATCTTTTTTTTGTAAATCTTTTCCCGTAATCATGGTTGTCAATGTAAAAGTTTGGCCATTGTGTATTCCTTATATTTTTATTGCGGTTATGTCAGATAAATCAAACTAGTTTTACAGAGTCAAATAAACTGATTTTTATCAGTTATCAGTGAGTCTTAATTCATCTTCAAGTGCATCTTTACCCGTGAAGGTCTGGGTTAAAATGAATCTTCAGTAACCCATGCTTGTCGTAAGAGGCGACTAATGGGATCGGGTGGTCAGGCTCGCTGACTGGTTGACACATGTCATCGGTTCCCAATTGCGCAGATATCGATGCTCATGCTGTTGATCACTGGATTGTCTGGTCCAGACTCAATAATTTACAGACCGCTGCCATATAGCTGGAATATTGCTGAGTACGGCGTAAAAATAAACTGACTCACTCAATGCATATTGTCTATAACTGATGTGATGTGACCCATTTTGTCTGTACTCCTCCCATCACTTTCACAGCTAACCATACAGTGCAAGGAGATTACAGCTGTCACAAAGGAGAAGACAGCCAGAGTCATCCCCAATGCAATCGCCATAACAACCGAGCGGGAAAAGTATTTCTTTACCTCCTTTGGTGCCAGGGATAAAACGTTTATGATGCTGTTCCGAATATGGCAAAATGCTCTCTTGGACCAGGTAGGAGTTGTTTCCCCTTGCTATCTCTTCAGGTCTGGAATGAATTGTTTATATCCTTATATAGTGAAAAATTGGGTATGTCAGAGGTAAAACAATTGCTTATATATTTTCAACACTTTAAAATTTGGAAAGCTTTTCTCTGATACTATCACTGAATCGTGCTTTAGTCTCTTCGGTTGGTGGCAATATGTAATTGAAATTTTATATTGTGGTTCATTAACCTGATGTTATCATGTTTTCGTCACTAGTTTAAAGTCAGTGTGTCATGAGTTGCTGGTGATTTTCCTGCCCTTTGAATACAGGTTCACAAGTAGTAGAAATGTGTTACCTGTGTCCTCTCTCACTTTGCTGGAATATTGCTGAGAACGTCCTATAAACGTTGTCGCTGATGTCAGTAAAGTGGTGGTTTGTTGCGACAGCCGATGAGTCCGAAGGAGTTGTGGCAGTGGATACACTACAGCTATGGTGAGGAGCTGGGTCTCACCTCCAGCGATGACGACTATGTGCCACCGCCCGGCATGGACGATCTCCGGGAGAGACTCAGCAAGGAGGAGATCATGCCACCCAAGGTACGGTACACACAGCATACCCTTCTAGTCCCATCTAGTCCCATCTTGTCCCTTCTAGTCCGATCTTGTCCCATCTAGTCCCATATTGTCCCATCTTGTCCCATCTTGTCCCATCTAGTCCCATATTGTCCCTTCTAGTCCCATGTAGTCCCATCTTGTCCCATCTTGTCCCTTCTGGACCCTTCTTGACATTTCTTGTCCCTTCTTGCTCAGTTTTGACTGAGTATATACTGCAGAGCTCCAGATAAGATTTAGCTCATGTGGGTACTGTACCCACTGTATTTTTTTGGAGTGGGTATTATGAATGTTGAGTGGGTATTTCATTTTCCGTTACCCACTGCTTTCAAATATGTGCGTATTTCAGTCATTTTACTCACCTAAGTATTATGTCATTGAGTTAGTTTACTAAGCAGGTATGTTCTGCCTTATGTCATACCTAATCAAAACCAAGTTGAATATAATGGAAATGATTTCATAAAAAATCCCTCATCCTATACTGACAGTACAACACTAGTCCTATACTAACAGTACAACTAAATATATTCCGTACGCATTTGTTTTAAACTTTTTGCGTATCTAACATTTTAAATGCGTAATTGGTACGCAACAATTATTTTTTAATGCGTAATTGGAAATTTTCTATATGCGTATTTTACCCGGATACGCAGCTTATCTGGGCCTCTGATGCTGAACAAATAAGTTAAGGATCATGAATATACTTGTGTGCTCAGTCTTCAGTTCAAAATAAATATCCCTCAACATACTGATCCTTAACTTTTTTGTTTTGTGTAAAGAGACAAGGGGGAAATTAATGGTTTTCAACTTCTATAATATATGGAAAACTGACAGTTTGGAGTATATTCTTGCCTTGCCTACAGTATTGTACGTAACTTGCTTGATAACGGTGTTACTGGCTAGACCAAGACGTCGCTCACATTTATGATAAAGAAGTTGTACATCCATAAAACTCTCCTCATTGTTCAGCTTCTAAATGCCACTCAAAGAAGATATATTCTTGCTCCTTCATCATAAATTTTCTTCCAAATGCCATTCAAAAACTTCATGAAAAGCCGTACATGTGTTTATTTATGTGAGACTGACTGACTGACTGAGTATGGTTTTACGCCGCTTTTAGCAATATTCCAGCAACATCACGGCGGGGGACACCAGAAATGGGCTTCACACATTGTACCCATGTGGGGATTCGAACCCGGGTCTTCGGCGTGACGAGCCAACGCTTTAACCACTAGGCTACCCCACCGCCCCTATTTATGTGAGAAGAAACAACTGTAGTTGAAGGGAAGAGGCCATCCACTAAATGCATGCTGCCCATGCTCTCCCTGTTTGATTATGTGTGTGTCACTGTGTTACGACTGTTCCAAGATACACAAGCACTTCCTGCATGCTGGTGCTGGCAATGTCACCATTATTGGTTGTTTCTTTAAAGATGGCTCTGATGTTTCAGGGGCTGTCTGATTCCTCAGATATTCATTTGCAGGGTGAGCTTGGTCAGCTGATCAGTAACGACGACACCGATGTCCTCGTGTCGGACGAAGTCTTTTGCCAGTCGCCAGTGCCATTAGATTCTCCCCTCGGTATTCGTGGTACTGAGGTTCCCACTGATTTTGGGGACACAACGGAAGACAGTGAAGGTATGTATGTTTAAATTTGGTCTAAGTGAGGTTAGGTGAGGTGAAATTGGGTTTAACGTCGTGCTCGAGAATACTTCGCTCATATGACGACGTGCATGCGTGTGTGTGTGTGTGTGTATGTGCAGCTGCTTGTACTAGCCCAGACTTAGGCTGGTTTTATAGAGCTAGTCCACTGAGATACCACGCCTCAGTGAAGCATGAATACCCCACTCAGACACATTATACTGACTCTGAGCCGACCAGTCCTTGTTGTACCCATTAATGCCGAGAGCCAGACAGGGACGTACCATATTTTAACGTGTTTTGGTATGACGCTGTCGGGGATCAAACCCGTGACCTTCCGCTCTCCGGGCGGAGGCGGTCTTGTCTAAGTTGATGTAATGGACTTACTACTTGGATTATTATTCCAGGGGACTTGCAACCGTTAGTTATAGGGGTCTCGGTGTAAAATGTACATGTACCAGGCTTCAGAATTGGGTCCTTAAAGAAATGACCGAAATTGATAAAATTAAAATAATGTTATTGAACTAAGACAACTCACGTACATGGTGGTGTTTGACTCACACGATGCTATATTTTCCAGGTGAGGTGACTTGTTCTGGTCATGAACACCTGGAGAAGTGTTACCTGGATGAGGTGTTCAACCTGTCCGTGGACCAAGCCTTCGAGTACCTGTTCACAGACTCTGCTTTCTTTAGGCAGTTTGTTGCATCACGGAAGACTTTCGGTAAGTGGATCAACAAAACGATGCTCAGTGATCTGATGTCTACTTTCAGAAAAATATTGACATTGGAATTATTGTTCTGTGTGAGATACTAAGGGTGTCTTTGTGTTACAAGGGTAATTAGTAACTGCTAGACCTACAGCTAAAGTGATGTATGAATCAAATAACTTAGCTACCAATCAGAATGACTTAGCTGCCAATCAGAATGACTTTGCTGCCAGTTCCCAGCCTGAAAGTTCTGTTGCTTCACATGCTCAGAATTCCAATCATCATCTCAATATTGCCTTGAACAGGTAGCATTCAACTTCATATCCATTTCTGTCTAGTACATTGTCTATGCTGTATTTAGGAGAAATCAAAATATATGCATTTCTGTTTCTTTAGCTATGTGATATCACTGGTGATCTTTTTTCTCCAAAATGTGGTATAGGGTAGCATCATTTTGACTGGTTGATGCCTATGACATCACAGAGTAATTACACATCTTGTGAGCTGACACTGATCTGTCTTCTGCCCAAAACTTGACTCGACTATCAATCAGAGGTAGCCTTGACCTCATTCCAACATTTATCCTGACCAGTTTTGTGTCACGATAACCTGTCTGTGACCTTGAACTTGATTTTTGATGTAATGTGACCAGGATGTGTTAAACTGTTCTTAGTTTGTAATATGACTCGGATCATACGTGCACTGGTTGTGATCATGATCCACTGTATACTGAATAAGACTTGGACATATACTGACCTTGACCTTGGATTGTGTTTGTAGAGTTGGAGCTGCCAGATTGGAGCGAAGTTGATGAGAACGGAAGTCGGGCTCGAATCATCCGCTACACCCTTACACTTAACCATTCCATAGGGCCAAAGACTTCCCCCTCAGAAGAAAAACAGGTGCAGTTAGCTTCAGACTTAGTGACTATATCCCTTCCATTGTGACGAATGTTATCCTACACATTTTCTATTCACTTTCGTTTTTGTGAAGGTCAATCCAATGTTTTCAGTATTATTTCAAAGTTATGTATTTCATAGAACATTAAGATTTCGATGATAATCTTGAGACATTTCACTAGGTGTACATGGGTTCAATGTGTGACGCCTATTTCAGGTGTCCCTCACCTTGAAATCATAGGACGTAGGAACATTGCTGAGAAAAACCCCTATTTAGACAATGTCTTCATTACAAGTACCAAATTTAGCATTGAAAGTGTGTGTCGGTATTTTGAGAATGACCAGCTGAAAACAGTGCCTTGGTTACTTCCTTTTTTTGTCACTTCTGCTGTAGAACAGGCTCTACAAGTACAATTTTATTCTCCCTTGACAAATTAATTGTTTACTGTGTAGTTCTGGTGAATATTGACAAGGAGTCATTGATTTTAAGAGCATGATGTATGGATCCTGTCCTTAAATGACAAATTAGTATTACCTCCAATTTCAAACAAAATAGAATTGAATGCATACAAACAATTTCTAAGTTTTTTTATAAACTGGTACACTTATCTGTTGCATTTGGGTTAAGTAATATTGAGCAGGTGCTTGAAATGGCCAAACTGAAGGCTGACGGTGGTTGTCAAGAGATGGTAACTGAGACTAAACTGTAAAATGTTAAATCAAAACAGTGATACAAGGGTTCATACCATGATATCTGGCCATATTTTACTGGGGACAGACATTCGTTTATTGCAACACATGTCAACAGCAGGTCACATGCTGCTAGCAATGACTCCTGACCAACAGCTGTAGCTAGGGATAGATTGTTAGTGAGTTAGTGGTAACCATGTCTGTTGTCCACCACTGTGACACTCCAGGCGTTGTGACATTGACCTTGTGTTGACAGACGTGTATGAAGGAGAGTCAACATGGGCTCATGTACATCATCGACACCGACTGCATGAATGGAGGTATCCCCTACGCTGATGCCTTCTTCGTTGCCAACCGCTACTGTCTGACTCGTGTTTCTAAGAACAAGTGTCGGATCCATGTCTCCAGTGAAGTGAGGTACAAGAAGTCTGTCATCGGCATTATCAAGGGTGAGTCTGTCATTGGTATTATCAAGGTTAAGTCTGTCATCGGTATCACAAAGGTAAGTCTGTCTTCGACATTATCAAGGGTAAGTCTGTCATCGGCATTATCAAGGGTGAGTCTGTCATCGGCATTATCAAGGGTGAGTCTGTCCTTGGTATTATCATGGGTAAGTCTGTCATCGGCATTTTCAAGGGTGAGTCTGTCATTGGCATTATCAAGGGTGAGTCTGTCATCGGCATTATCAAGGGTGAGTCTCATCGGCATTATCAAGGGTGAGTCTGTCATCGGCATTATCAAGGTTGAGTCACACATGGTGGTAATCTAAGTCTGTCATCGGCATATTGTGACTTGTGTATATGTAGGTATAAAACCCCAGCATATGATTTGTGACTTGTGCATATGAAGGTATAAATCCCCAGCATATGATTTGTGACTTGTGTATATGAAGGTATAAAACCCCAGCATATGATTTGTGACTTGTGTATATGTAGGTATAAAACCCCAGCATATGATTTGTGACTTGTGTATATGCAGGTATAAAACCCCAACATATGATTTGTGACTTGTGTATATGAAAGTATAAAAGCCCAACATATGATTTGTGACTTGTGTATATGTAGGTATAAAACCCCAACATATGATTTGTTACTTGTGTATATGTAGGTATAAAACCCCAACATATGATTTGTGACTTGTGTATATGCAGGTATAAAACCCCAACATATGATTTGTGACTTGTGTACATTTAGGTATAAAACCCCAGCATATGATTTGTGACGTGTATATGTAGGTATAAAACCCCAGCATATGATTTGTGACTTGTGTATATGCAGGTATAAATCCCCAGCATATGATTTGTGACTTGTGTATATGCAGGTATATAACCCCAGCATATGGTTTGTGACTTGTGTGTTGCAGGCATGATCGAGCGGAGCGCTGTAGGCGGACTGACGGACTACTTCCGTGCACTATGTGAGTACACAAACATCCTGACAACAGGAACAAAGTCTCTTGTTCCAGTACAATCGTAACAGGCCATACCTAAGGCTTCAAGATCCTTAGTGATATTTAGAACTTTGACATTTAATTGTATTTGCAGCTAACTTTTCAAGTGTGACAAAAGTGTTAACATGTGTTTTGAAAGGGGTGCCATGTTCCTCCGAAACAACTTAGTGTTAGCACCACCAATGTAATAGAGACATAATGTGTGTGTACTTATAGACCCCACCATGTGAAATATTCCTAGAAATACTGTGATTATTAGAGAGCTAAGATAGCTGTGTTCTGATACGTATAAAGTCAAACATACCATTCCTATGATAAGGAATATTTCTTAGGAGTAATAAAGGCCTTGCAAAGTGCACTTAACAAGAAATATCCAATTTGCAAGCCATTAACATAGTTGTTCATTTTGACCATGTGTTTACATTCTGAGTGTTAGTTTGCCATCAGATAAAAGCCAGCATGTGTATTTAGTATTCATTTCTTTTTGTGATTCTATGTTGAGTTGGGAGGATTATAGTGCCAGAAACGTATTTGGTCAAGCAGACAAACAAAATGATATTTGAGCAACTTAGATCAGACTTGTTATGGCCTGCATATTGCTGACGTGAAACAAAAACCATAATTGACTGTTTCGTGAGGTGTAGTGAGACTGGACTGTGTTGTAGCTGCCCACCTACGTCGAGAGGCTGAGAGACAGGAGACAGTCAACAGCAGTCAGAAACCAGCCAAGAAGAAACTACGTAGACGCAGGAAAATCATTGGGAGCATCTCAGAAGTTGTAACACCGTCACGGCAGCCGGAAAGACAGATGTCAGCTCCCCCCTCCCCAGTGAAACGTGAGTGGTGCAGATTATCGCCTAGTCTCTGAATATATATGATTTTGATAGTAACCAATAAACCATTTATATTGAAAAGGAGCCCAGTGAGATGGGAACCTGAACCTGAGGACATCTAGACTTGCTTCATTTAGGGCTTTAGCAGGGAGGGCCAAGCAATAAGGAAAATAATGTGGTTCAGAGACTGTGAGACAGACTACGTAGCAGGGAGGGCCAAGCAATAGGGAAAATAATGTGGTTCAGGGACTGTGAGACAAGCTACATAGCAGGGAGGGCCAAGCAATAGGGAAAATAATGTGGTTCAGGGACTGTGAGACAAGCTACATAGCAGGGAGGGCCAAGCAATAGGGAAAATAATGTGGTTCAGGGACTGTGAGACAGACTGCATTGCAGGGAGGGCTAAGCAATAGGGAAAATAATGTGGTTCAGGGACTGTGAGACTGACTACATTGCAGGGAGGGCTAAGCAATAGGGAAAATAATGTGGTTCAGGGTCTGTGAGACAGACTACATTGCAGGGAGGGCTAAGCAATAGGGAAAATAATGTGGTTCAGGGACTGTGAGACAGACTACATTGCAGGGAGGGCTAAGCAATAGGGAAAATAATGTGGTTCAGGGACTGTGAGACAAGCTACATTGCAGAGAGGGCTAGGCAGTGGGGAAAATAATGTGGTTCAGGGACTGTGAGACAGACTACATTGCAGGGAGGGCCAAGCAATAGGGAATATAATGTGGTTCAGGGACTGTGTGACAGACTACATTGCAGGGAGGGCTAGGCAGTGGGGAAAATAATGTGGTTCAGGGACTGTGAGACAGACTACATTGCAGGGAGGGCCAAGCAATAGGGAATATAATGTGGTTCAGGGACTGTGTGACAGACTACATTGCAGGGAGGGCTAGGCAGTGGGGAAAATAATGTGGTTCAGGGACTGTGAGACAGACTACATTGCAGGGAGGGCTAAGCAATAGGGAAAATAATGTGGTTCAGGGACTGTGAGACAGACTACATTGCAGGGAGGGCTAAGCAATAGGGAAAATAATGTGGTTCAGGGACTGTGAGACAGACTACATTGCAGGGAGGGCTAGGCAGTGGGGAAAATATTGTGGTTCAGGGACTGTGAGACAGACTACATTGCAGGGAGGGCTAAGCAATAGGGAAAATAATGTGGTTCAGGGACTGTGAGACAGACTACATTGCAAGCAGGGCTAAGCAATAGGGAAAATAATGTGGTTGTGGGACTGTGAGACTGACTACATTGCAGGGAGGGCTAAGCAATAGGGAAAATAATGTGGTTCAGGGTCTGTGAGACAGACTACATTGCAGGGAGGGCTAAGCAATAGGGAAAATAATGTGGTTCTGGGACTGTGAGACAGACTACATTGCAGGGAGGGCTAGGCAGTGGGGAAAATAATGTGGTTGTGGGACTGTGAGACAGACTACATTGCAGGGAGGGCTAAGCAATAGGGAAAATAATGTGGTTCAGGGTCTGTGAGACAGACTACATTGCAGGGAGGGCTAGGCAGTGGGGAAAATAATGTGGTTCAGGGACTGTGAGACAGACTACATTGCAGAGAGGGCTAAGCAATAGGGAAAATAATGTGGTTCAGGGACTGTGAGACAAGCTACATTGCAGAGAGGGCTAGGCAGTGGGGAAAATAATGTGGTTCAGGGACAGTGAGACAGACTACATTGCAGGGAGGGCTAAGCAATAGGGAAAATAATGTGGTTCAGGGTCTGTGAGACAGACTACATTGCAGGGAGGGCTAAGCAATAGGGAAAATAATGTGGTTCAGGGTCTGTGAGACAGACTACATTGCAGGGAGGGCTAAGCAATAGGGAAAATAATGTGGTTCAGGGACTGTGAGACAGACTACATTGCAGGTAGGGCTAAGCAATAGGGAAAATAATGTGGTTCAGGGACTGTGAGACTGACTACATTGCAGGGAGGGCTAGGCAGTGGGGAAAATAATGTGGTTCAGGGACTGTGAGACAGACTACATTGCAGGGAGGGCTAAGCAATAGGGAAAATAATGTGGTTCAGGGACTGTAAGACAAGCTACATTGCAGAGAGGGCTAGGCAGTGGGGAAAATAATGTGGTTCAGGGACTGTGAGACAGACTACATTGCAGAGAGGGGGTCAGTACAAGAAAGTACCATTTTGTTTTTATTTTATTGAAGGGAAATAGTGATCCTCCTTTGGCACCAAACCGTTTGCTGATATTTATACAGAAACTATCACAGAGCTTGGTCACACTACTTAGAACAGTAAATAATGGAAGGAATATTCTAAAATGTGTCAAAGCTGTTGAATTGTTTTCTGTCTGTTGTCGGACGAATCTCTGTTGTCTTGGTTACCAAATATTACTACACCAACAAGAATATCAAAAGGGCTTAAGGTGAAAATGCATACATATTGGCATCTGACAATTACTGCAGAAGTTGTCTCACTAAAGATATTTCTCCTTATTTCAGACATGGGAACCCGAGACATGAAACTTAGTGTGAATGCTGAGTCCTTTGTGCGATTAATATTTTTCATGTAAGTATGAATAATGCAATTACTGCTTTAAGTATTCATATTTGTGTGTCCCAGTCTGTACACCTCCGAGCATTAACGACTCAGAACCCAGATCTGTACTGTAAAATCGAAGGGACCAGAATTCATTATCAAGACTTCATTGGCAAGGTATTGACTAAACTGTCAATGTTTTACTCAAATGTTTTCTCAAATGTTGACATTCATTTATTTAAGATCAACATATTGTTGACATTTAAATAGGTTTGTAGTTATAATTATAGGATAAAAACTGCTTTGTGAATAACAAATATGTAAACAGTCTTAATTTCACAAATAGTATACACCATGTACAACAGTCTTTATTTCACAAATAGTATACACCATGTACACCAGTCTTTATTTCACAAATAGTATACACCATGTACGCCAGTCTTTATTTCACAAATAGTATACACCATGTGCACCAGTCTTTATTTCACAAATAGTATACACCATGTACACCAGTCTTTATTTCACAAATAGTATACACCATGTACAACAGTCTTTATTTCACAAATAGTATACACCATGTACACCAGTCTTTATTTCACAAATAGTATACACCATGTACACCAGTCTTTATTTCACAAATAGTATACACCATGTACACAAGTCTTTATTTCACAAATAGTATACACCATGTACACAAGTCTTTATTTCACAAATAGTATACACCATGTACACCAGTCTTTATTTCACAAATAGTATACACCATGTACAGTCTTTATTTCTAGTATACACCATGTAACATTCTCAGTCTTTATTTCACAAATAGTATACACCATGTACACCAGTCTTTATTTCACAAATAGTATACACCATGTACACCAGTCTTTATTTCACAAATAGTATACACCATGTACACCAGTCTTTATTTCACAAATAGTATACACCATGTGCACCAGTCTTTATTGCACAAATAGTATACACCATGTACGCCAGTCTTAATTGCACACCCGCATATACCGTGGATGTACACAGGGAGGGTGATGCATCACTCAGTCTCTGCTAGAGCACCAGTATCTGTGTTGTTGTTCCAGATTGGCGGTAATGGTCGTACTCAACGCCATCCTGTTCTTCAAGGTGTGGTGCCTGGAGGACATCGTCAGGCAGAGGTACCTCCATCACACAGCCAGGGACTTTGACAACATCGAGTAAGTCAGGCCTTGGATGATATATATTGAAAACATCACATGGCATGTCTGTTAGATCACATAATATGTTAGAATGATCATGTGACATGTTGGAAAGATCACATGCCATTTGAGGTAGAGCACATGACATGCTGGAAAGATCATGTCATATGGTGAATAAATCACATGACAAGTTGGAGAGGTCACATTATGCTTTGTATAGATCACATGATAAAAACAACACCTTCCAGAAGCTGTAATAGGTGCATCACATCATGTGAAATTGTTTCTGATTGATGTCGGCCTTATGGTTTGTATAAGGTGTGATGCTGTGTTTCAGGGAATATCCCCGGTCTCAGGAACAGTGGGCCAACTTGTTGAAGCAGCAGAAGAGTATGTACAACCGGGAGATTGACAAGTGGAGCGACGTGTTGTCTACCTCCATACAGTTGATAGAACAGGTAGGGAGATTGACAGGTGGAGTGACGTGTTGTCTACCTCCATACAGTTGATAGAACAGGTAGGGAGATTGACAAGTGGAGTGACGTGTTGTCTACCTCCATACAGTTGATAGAACAGGTAGGGAGATTGACAGGTGGAGCGACGTGTTGTCTACCTCCATACAGTTGATAGAACAGGTAGGGAGATTGACAGGTGGAGCGACGTGTTGTCTACCTCCATACAGTTGATAGAACAGGTAGGGAGATTGACAAGTGGAGCGACGTGTTGTCTACCTCCATACAGTTGATAGAACAGGTAGGGAGATTGACAAGTGGAGCGACGTGTTGTCTACCTCCATACAGTTGATAGAACAGGTAGGGAGATTGACAAGTGGAGCGGTGTGTTGTCTACCTCCATACAGTTGATAGAACAGGTAGGTAGACTGTAACATATATTATATATGTTATAAGTGGAAGCCGCAGTGGCCAAGCGGATTAGAAGTCTGACTTTGTGTGCTGGTGATTAGGTGCCTGACTCTGAGAGTGTGGGTTCAAATCCTGGATGGGACTCAAGCCAACAAAAGTACTAGAATCTGTACTTTACTTCGGATATGCAATTCCAAATGTAAGATATGTTTCATTTGACCACTTTCTATATGGCGTTATGTTTCAAAGGTAGGTAGACTGACAAGTAGAGTGATATCAGGAAAAGCATGTTATTGGCTGCTAACACACTTAGCGGTGGTCAAATCAGTAGCTAGTTAATATCATATTTAAATGCCACCCTCATTAAAGTGAAAATATTTAGCTTTTAATCTTACTCTTCCAGTTATTTATATTTCATGTCTTGTCTTTCATTTTCAGATGAAAGGCACCTTAGAAGCACTCAGGGACGGACTGAAATTGAGGAATGCTGACAGGAAGTCCTGACCCACAATGCATCTGTGCGAGCACTAACCTCAAACCTACCTGTCCAGTAGTCAATGGTAGAGGTCACAACTCCACAAAACCAGCAACAATCTTGGGATCAGCAGCAAAGGTTTTTGTGACATTTGATTGGTCAGTGGTTGTTTTCTCTCTGACCAATCAGGGACCAGGATTTTCCAGCTTGTGAAACTGTTACTGAATGTGATATAATGTCTCTGGTATACAAGAGAACGTTGTTGATATTTATTTGACAATGAGAGAAGTCTCTCAGTTAAGTTATGACTATAATAGATGTCTATGCAGAGTTTACACTGCAGAATCGCATCCAAATATCTGTTCTTTGTCATTAATGGATTTTCTTCACAACAGGAGGTATGCCAAAATCACCAGTTTAAGTATTTAACAAACATTTGGGACGCAGGTAGGAATGATCACCAAGATATGTCATGGGTGAACATTATGATTTGAGTCAGCACTGTGCTAGTATTGTTTCATTCCAACTTATTTTACATGTGAAAGGGTATGGAATTCATTAGTAGGCATTCAAGGTTTTGAGAATTTAGCTTCAGTGGGATGGAGGGTGGAGGGTTCAGTTGCAGAATACAAGTAGACACATCAATGCAAGGCCACATTTGTGTGACTGTGGCAGGTTGTGTATTCATGTGTGAGTGAGGAACGTTGTGTATTCGTGTGTGATTGGGGAACATTGTGTGTTCATGTGTGACCGTGGCATGTCGTGTATTCCTGTGTGACTATGGCACGTCATGTATTCTTGTCTGACTGTGGCATGTCATGTATTCCTGTGTGACTGTGGCATGTCACATATTCCTGTGTGACTGTGGCTCGCCATGTTTTCGTGTGTATTTTGTGTGTCAAAGACTGATGTTTTTTCCGTTACCAATGTGTACTGATGAAAAAAGTAGGGAGTATCTCACCAACCAACATCAGCTGCGTCACCCAGTCAGGAGTAAATACAGTTAAGTATAACACCAATGTATGTGTATACGTGTGTACGTGTGTATGTTCATCATGTAGTGATCAGTCAGTGAAGGTCACAGCCAGATGAGGGGCTGACTAGCATGATAGGGGCCATGGTGGAACCAATGTCACAGCCAGATGAGGGGCTGACTTGCATCATAGTGGCCTTGGTGGAACCAATGTGTCAGTTTTCACAAACATCCCCAGCATCTGCTTAGTCGCTTCATACATGATGGTGTGAATCCATATCGAAGTGACTTCCACCTCTTGGTGATGTGGTGGGTGGTTCCAGTTTGAGTTTATTTTGCTTCACATCCATGTTTTATTCCCATATGGGCAGGGTGCTGGTGTACCTAGTCACTGCCGTCATGTCCCGTTGGTCCAGGGCTGGAACACAGCAACCTGCAAACTAACAGACCTAGTACATTTTGAGACTTTCACTACAACATATCAGAATATTCCATGTCAGCGTATTATCTACTGTACGTATTGAAACTTGCGGGTCCTGGACCAGGCTTGAGACTAGGCTGTAGGGGTGGTCATGTGGGGCGCATGTTTTGTTTTTGAGTATGTTATTCAGAGTTAATATATAAACACATATTTGTATATAGAGATCATAGTTTTGTATGAGGGGTTACCCTGTCTGCACCTTGTTAGAATATTGTTTGTACAACATTACATTCCACACCTAGTTGAGATGTAGATTGCTTGCAATGTTTGTCTCATAGATACAGCACTGTGTTAAGTGATGGGAAAGCACAGCTTGTTGGCTACACCTGTGTAGGTCATGTGACATGCTTGTGGGTAGTGGTCATGTGACATGCGCCTGGATCTTGGTCATGTGACATTGACCAGTGAATTCATGTGACATATGTTATGAAGTTTGTGACCTTTTACAGTGAAGGTCATGCTACTTTGGGAAGGTCATGTGCAGGGATGGTAATATTCTGCTGATCCGCAGATTTCTGCCGATTCTGTTTCAAATTGATCAATTCTGTGAATTGTCTAAATCTGTTGAGAAACCCTGAACCCCCATTTGATGACACAAAGTTATATTTCCAGCTGAAAATAGATTTTCTGTTGCCATCCCTGCATGTGTTATGTTGCAGTGTGAAGGTCATGTGACATCATGCAGTGTGAAGGTCATGTGACATCATGCAGTGTGAAGGTCATGTGACATCATGCAGTTTGAAGGTCATGTGACATCCATCATGCAGTTTGAAGGTCATGTGACATGCAGTGTGAAGGTCATGTGACATGCAGGTTGAAGGTCATGTGACATCATGCAGTGTAAGGTCATGTGACATGCAGTTTGAAGGTCATGTGACATGCAGTTTGAAGGTCATGTGACATGCAGTGTGAGGTCATGTGACATCATGCAGTGTGAAGGTCATGTGACATCATGCAGTGTGAAGGTCATGTCACATCATGCAGTTTGAAGGTAATGTGACATGCAGTGTGAAGGTCATGTGACATGCTGTGTGAAGGTCATGTGACATCATGCAGTGTGAAGGTCATGTGACATGCAGTTTGAAGATCATGAGACATGCAGTGTGAAGGTCATGAAACCTGACGGGAGTCTTTCAGAAATGATACTTAATGATTGCTGGAATGGGACATGGTTCGACCGCTTGCAATCTTGCCCTCTGTAGACAGTCATATGCTAATCATCATAACATGTCATGTGACTGTAGACTCATGTCATGTGACATCCTTGAGTCATGTGACACCATCAACAACCAGCTTGTATCAATTATAAACAATCAGGGCTTTGTCAATATCACAAGCAATCAGATCATAACACGTTCCTCATGCAGTTTGGTAACAAATGACAAACATACTGCCATTGTGTGTCCTTCAGCCATGTATCTAATGTTCCATTGTGCGATATGTTTGTTCCTGAGTTGGCTTGTTGTGATTGAAAGTGTATATCTTAACCATGTTCTTGTATGAAGGTGAATAACACCATAGTGTACAGGTGTGGCTGAAACAGGTGTTTCAGCAATTTAGAAAATATAATTATCAAAATGATTGTATATTTTTTTGGGCAACATGATGAAACTTGTCAGAGAGGAGAATCAAATGAAAAAATGCAAACCTTTGTTGTAGAGTGTCCTTGACAGTTTATAGAAAATGTTTCATTTTCCCCCCAAGGAGGTGTGTCTCTATGTCCCTATGTACAACCCAACTAAATGTCATGTATCCTACTCCAGAGAAATTAAGGAATAGTTAATTCCCTGTTGTCATCTGAAAATAGTATGGTGTTCCTTAACCTGTTGAGTAGCATATTTGCCAGATGGTGCTGCAGACAGTGTAGCTTCTATACTGTTCAACATTTGATAGGGATGCTATTCTCTGATACACCAAACCAATTAATAGCGTAAATATGTTATGAAACATCTCAACATCCCTATCCATAGTTTAGCAGAGTAGATGCTCCAACAATTATTTCAAACTGGTTTCCAGCAACAAGTGAGTGAGTGAGTATGGCTTTAACCTGCTGTTAGCAATATTCCAGAAATATTAAGGTGGGGGCCCCAGAAATAGGCACACATTGTACTTATGGGGGGAATCAAACCCAGATGTTAGGTGTTCTGAGTGAACGCTTCAACCACTAGGCTACCCCTGCACCCTACCAGCAAGTAGTGGAGGAGACTTGTGGTCACAGTGATGATGACTCCTCACCCTAAGGACTTGATTCCATTTACTTTCATTACAGTCATTTGTCCTAAACTAGGATATGATTTCTTCCATAATTTAATCAAGTGATATGCCAGTCTACAAACAAATAAAACACCAGTACTTAATTTCTATGAACTCTGGTGAGGAGAAAATCATTATTTAGCCTTACACCGTCTGCTTCAAACACATGAGATGTTCCTGGAATGTTGCTTATATATGTAACATATGTGTATATATAGTGGCGTTTGGAGTAATGTCTTCAGATACTGAGCCAGTCAGTTGACGTCATCAACAGTGTTCCAAGCCTTCTTGGTATAATGGCCATACCAGAGTCTTCTGTTGTCGCTAGAGAATAATGCCGAGGTGAAATTACATTTAATGAGGATTGACTTGTCAGTGTCTGCCTGCATCACATCACGGTCAAGCCACAATTGCTCTCACCTACTCTCTAACTGAAGTGGTAGGCTCGGTGCCACAGAATTATGTTTGGGGGGGACAAATGTGGAGACCAAATGAACCTTATTTGCTAGCTCTCAGTCCTGCTTCCATGACAGGGATAGAAATACTTTTTTTTCTAAGTGTGCCTTAGGGCACCAGACAAATATTTTAGGTGTGCCTTTCTGAAATCGAGTATGCCCACATATTTTTAGAATAAATGACAATGATAATGATCATTTTAAATTTATTGTTAAATAAAGAAATGGGTTTATGAGCATTCAAATATGTATGGTATTATTCAATTTGGAAAAAAATAATTGTTTTGGGGATTAAATGACTAAATGTGAGTTATGTCTCTTAAAAAATTTAGCCTGTCAAAAGGGCACCGAGAACATTTTTTAGCCGTGCCATTTCTGTATTTACCGTGCCATGGCACACTAGTATATGGGGTATTTCGAACCCTGCATGAGATAAAAATGGAAACTACTATCAATTATATTTAGTTCTGTTTTCAGCAAAAATGAAGTACTGAGAACTGGTTTAGAATTTCAGCTTTCAGTGAAGCCAACTGTCATTTTTACATGGATTTGCAGACTATTGTGAATTTGAAAGTCTGGCAACATGAAGACTTCACAACTCAGTCACCTTGTTCAGAAATTTTTTTTTGGTTTAAACCAGATGGAAATGTTGTACAGACAGGATCCACTGTCTGCAGCCATACATAGACTGTGATAACAATCATTTAGTGCAATATCTTGTCCTCTCAGTGTTTGTCACAACAGTTGTCTCCCTTCTTCACACAGTGACCACCAGATGTCATGGTGGATGTGGTGGTAGATATACAGAGTATACACTGGTGTTCTCCAGCACTGTAAACAGACAATATATCATGGTATCTGCACTGTCATCAGCTTGGCTGTTTTAGTTTGTGTTGTTTAGTTTCCATTGTTACATTGGTCAGGCTTATTTCCATTAATAAGATTGTACATATTGTAAGCTTGTATTTGTGTGTGATGCGTGTGTATGTAGGATGTTTGTCGAGGATACAGCCTTGTTAACCTCCACACCTGTTCACTGCCATGGTAATACATCACAGGTGTCATGATATGAGACCATTCTAACAGAGTGGGACAATGCTTCACTGAGCAGATCAATGCTAGGTCTAGACATAAGTAGAGACTGTCAACTTGGATGTGTAGTAGGGTCCACATGTCAATATCGAGCCATGGCAATGCAGGGGAGGGACTGGTAATTTTCGGTTTACAAAAAAAAAAGATAATCATGAAAATATCTGGAGGCTTGCACCCATATGAAAATATGTTTTCACTGGAAATATTCATGGTCTGAAATAATGCACTGTGGGTAGAAAACTTGATTTGATAGATTGGTATTGTTTCACGTTCTGTCTCAAACAAAAGTCCCAGTCTGCCCCATCCCTAAGGATATTGTCAGGTTGATATGTATCCTAATATTTGATTAAACCCCAACTTCCTTGGATTGCTAATTGACACTTTAGGTCTCTTCCTCTCAACACTCCCTTGACATACATTCCTGTATCATACAAACAGTTGACTACATACTTTCACAATGGTGTCTGTTTCCGTGATTAATAGGAGAATGATATGCTGAGTATGTCAAAATATATCATCAGATAGAGATAATTTATTTGTTTTTCATTATTCAGATTGTTGTTTAATGCACATGTATATTTAGAATGAATGTAAAATGTGTATGTGTGTGATATGCTAACCTCTCAAGAAACAGTTTGAGGTTAGAGACCCTATCTCATCCCCCCTTGTGTAGTATGGCTTCGTATCGTCCGACCTGAGTGTGTATACACAGACTGTTATCACTGATAACTTGGCCTTATGTGTGGCTACCACTGTTGGCCGGCATGTTTCTTGAGACATTTTCCATTGCAGCTTTACAATGTTTATTTTGTCTGTGTTTCAACTGAAAATTGTTATCCTTGGCTTGGCAGTGGTTGTGCTTTCATTTTCAGATTTACTCAAAATTCAGAAATATTTGCAGAGAAGATGATTCGTGTTGTATTGTAGGTGTTTCTTGGTTTGTCATTTCGGGATTAGGTTGATAACATTTGTATATTGTGCCATGATGGACGGAGCTCTTACTGTTCCCCAAGACATGAAAGGGAAGACGGACTGGTCACTTGTTATTGGGGGATGGGCTGGTCAGATTATAGGGGTGGGGTGGTTAGATTATAGGGGTGGACTGGTCAGATTATAGGGGTGGGCTGGTCAGATTATAGAGGTGGGCTGGTTAGATTATAGGGGTGGGCTGGTCAGATTATAGGGGTGGGCTGGTCAGATTATAGGGAGTGGGCTGGTCAAAATATAGGGTGGGGGAGGATGGGCCAGATTATTGGGGATGGGCTGGTGTGGTCAGGTCAGATTGTTGGGGATGGGCTGGTCTGGTCAGGTCAGATTATTGGGGATGGGCTGGTCTGGTCAGGTCAGATTATTGGGTTACTAAAACATGGGAGTTTGGGAAGAATGTTATGTTAAAAGGGGATTAGGTATTATAGCAATTTTACATCTAGATTTGGGACATGCTTGGGACACAGGAAGAGTTTCTTCTCAGTGTGTTGTATAACACCAGCTCCATGCTGTGTGGTTACGGTGTTGGTCCAGACTGTAGTAACATCTTAACATGTCGGGATCACACCAGTCAGTTGTACTTCCGGAACAGGACTGTGGTCGTGACGGACTCCGATGTAGATAGACATTCAAGGTGTTCAAGTCCCAACTAGAGGGCCAGACATCTTATCTGCCTGTGATAATTTCTGTGACAGTTGTCAAGATCAAATATATAGATGTAAAGCCAGATGCTACAGAGGAAATATAATATATTATGTCACCATGGTAACCCCAACTTCACCCACACAGGTTTTGTCACTTGTAACCTACGTTTATTCTGCGACAGTAATTTGGCAATGTGTATCCATTTGCTATGTAACCATGGTAACATAGGGAAAATTGGGGAAATTATTTCAGCTGATAAAATGTTCTGATGAATATGTTCTTTTTGCTTTTGTGAAAATTCACAACTATGCTCCTATCTCGCATGTTCCAATATATTATTCTTTTGTTCAAAGAGTGAATTAAACTTTTACTTTGAATAAAAGTCTGTGTGGGGTTGCCATGGTGACATGACTTAGCTAAGGCTGTTTTGTCCTGTGATGTGTCACCTACCAGTCTTGTATATAGTTGTAAGGGGAGTAGTACCTGGAGTTTATGATGTACATAGTTGTAAGGGCAGTAGTACCTGCAGTTTACATTGTACATAGTGAAGAGAACATTTGCACTGTCATATTTTCATCATTTTTCTCAGATTGAAAAAGTATATAAACTATTTCAAAATATGAGTTGTTTCTTGTTGTGCAATTACAGAATGCTTTCACACGAAGGATTAGAGAATAAGACCAAGACCATTACAGAACAACGGTATGAAGCCTAATGAATGAATGTTTCATTCCAAGAGTGACCAATGTTTAAGTTCAATGATGCCAATACAGAATTTTTATTTAGTTGACTCAGATCTGCCCAGCAAAACACAAAAATACAGAGATAGAAAAAAAATAAGGATTATCTTTTCTCAAAATTATTTATTTGGTTAAAGAAAGAAATGAACAAGACATTTTTGTAGATTTTTTGAAACAGTAACCAAACCACTTTGTCATCACAACTCTTGCAGAAAACTCACTAAAGGTGTGTTTTGGTTCCCCACTGCAATGCACCTGTGTAAAAGTATTAAGTCTCCTCGGTTACAGTGCAAGTGGCTTTGAGCTTCTTGATTATCAGACAAATTCACCAGATTTTGCATTGTCAGATTCCCAAACATGAAGAAAGTAATGTCTGACAAGCTTTCTGCAAATTTTATCCACCCCTATTATGACACTAGAACAGAACAGAACAGAACTAAAAACAAATGACCCCAGACTAAATCATGATGAATTCCTGTACAGTAGAGGGTAGGAGTTCAGCCTGTGCTTGTCTCATAAATTCCATAATTGATTTTGAACAACTGATCAGTTATGATGAAATTAACCCCAAAATAAATTTCACATGATTATCACATAACCCTCAAAGTGAACTTAGTGGAATAAGATGGAAGGGTTTGCTTCTGGGTTAAATTTGAAACTCTGAATATAACTCATCGGTACAAATTGATAGAAAAAAATCCAGTTGTGTGTCAATGAAGGCTGAATTCGTGCAAACAGAAGTTGTACACTTTGGAATAAACGCTGCTTCAAATGACACAAATAAAACACATAAAAGAGTGACATTACAACTATTACAACATTAACTGACAAAAAGATTTCCTCCCCGCACACCCTGACACATCCCACCATCAACGACAATAAAGTAAATGAATAAATAATTACAACAAAAACAACAACTGGGTTACATACAAGCACCTGGCATACCCAAAGTTTATGTTTCCAGTGAATTCAATGCCATGTGTCAGGTCTCAATGAAATCGGGTGGTCAGGCTTGCTGACGTGGTTGACATGTCACTGTATCCCAATTGCGTAGATTGCTGCTCATGTTGTTGATCACTGGATTCTCTGGTCCAGGCTCGATTATTTACAGACCGCCACCATATAGCTGGAATATTCCTGAGTGCAGCGTTAAACAACCAACCAACTCCACAGAGGATAACTCGGCCACTGTCTTTCTGCTGTGTGTGTGTGTGCGTGCGTGTGTACACAACAAGGCAGGAAAACCTTTGGGGCAGACATCAACGCTGCCACCATGCTGTCTGTGTTCACAAAATTAAGACGAATTGAGAGACTGACACAGATTGAAGTTTATGCATATGTTTGCATGATAACAGTACATAATATATTCACACCGTTAAAAGTTATGTCCAGTCTGGGAGATGACCACTAAGTCTTGCTTCACACAATGAAAATCTACATTATTCATTTAAAGGAAGTAAGGTCGCAACAAGCAACACTGGTAACTCAAACCAGACAAGACGTATCATCATAAGGATGGTGCATTGGGAGGATAAATGGAGATCTGTCAAGTTGAGAGCCACCCTCAAGGAACAGGGATATGGAGTAGCACACGACCTCACAAGATTCAAAAGGCAAGAGCTCTACAGACTCCGGGGGGCAGTCACGATAGGGGTGTGGCCAGGGCCGATCGAATGATAATGACTATACGGCGCTTCAGAAGGATTCCAATGACAGTGATAGTGATAAACAACCACTTACTAACTGTGTTGGTGGTGTAAGATTTATATTTGGGAACATTTTGCACATAACCAGACTGATAATGACTTTCTTGATTATATTATTGGTATAATAGAGACATGGAGTAAGAATCTTGATCTTAGTGATGCATTTAATGATTATGATTGTGTTTGTAAAAGTGCAGATAAATTAGCATTATGTGGAAGACTGTCTGGTGGTATACTAGTTATGGTATGAAAAAACGCTATCACACCACATAAAATGGTCCAAAATAACGGATAACACAATATTTATCTTATTTGATAAATGTCTCTTTGATCTTGATGCTGGCTTATTATATAGCTGTACTTATATACACCCAGAAGGATCTTCGTGGTACTATAAATTGAAAGCATACTGCAGAAATGGTATTACAATTTTCCAGGAGAAACTATTAGAGCTGATATCTGATTTACCCAACATGTACGTGCTATGTGGGGGCGACTTCAATGCTCGAACAGGTACTAATTCTGATTTTGTTGACGATGATATCATTCTTCACACTGAAAGTAAAGATCATTCGATGTATGATTCTATCCTAGATAACTTTGATCTTGAACGATTCTCCTGTGATAAGATTGTGAACCATTTTGGTAGATGCTTGTTAGATATATGTAGTATTCTAAATATCCACATTGTAAATGGTAGATGTGGATCAGATTCTAATATTGGCCAATATACACATATCGGTACAAATGGTACTAGCGTTATTGACTACGTTTTAGCATTGACTAGAATTGTTGATAGCATACAAAGTTTTGATATACCTTCATGCGCTGAATCGTCTTATTTACCACTGACACTAGAATTATGGGCGCATCACTGTCGTGAACGTAAAAGAAATGAAACTAGGACAAATAACAAAGCATTTAAATTTGTCAGGGATATGAAGAATTCTTTGACAGGAAAAAACCAGTTACTATCGAAGAGAATTTCAAGACTTTTTATGTAAAAATGTGTCTTGTTATCAATACAATAACAAAGTACTTCAAAGTAGAGACAGCTCTACTTGTGGACTGTATTGTGTTTACTACATTATGATGAAGTGTGGAGGACATGTATTGTATGACATTCAAAGCAGTTTCACTTCAAATACAATGGTCAATGATGACATGATGTATGACTATGCTTCTAAGTATTTTTATGCATGTATGTAAAACTGTCCATACTATCTAGATTTAGTGATGGTTAACTATGTTTCATGTTCATAGTGATGAGATAATGTACTTGGAAATAAACATAAAAAAAACTTTAAAAATTTAGCTAGCCCACAGAAGTCCCCAATCGGAGAAGGACGGTTGGGAGGTATGGCACTGCATTCTGTTGTTATTATTATTGATGTCAACAAACATACAACAAGGTATACATCTTTTCAATGTTTAACGACCCCGTTTCACAGGAGTGGAACTACAGGTTAGGGGTCAACCCATAGTCTACTTTACAATCACATAAATTTACAATGTAATCCATTTGAAAGGCTTCTTCTTCTTCCTCTGTTGGGTATGAGCTGGTATTCCAGGAGGTTTAGACCTCAGTGTCATTTCAGATGTTTTGGAATTCATTTCCACTTCCAGCCGTTGTCTGTTGCCTACAAGTCCTTGAGGCACATGTATGTCTTTTAAGGCCTGATAGAATTCAGTCATTCCCTTGGGTTGAAAACGTTTATACAGATACCGTGAGTCCTTGAGTAAGTCTGCAATATGACTCCCCTGAATGACTTGACCCTGGTAGATGAGTACACCTTTCCAATTCCATGACAGTCTTTGGTCGGGATCATTTTGTATGTGTCTCAATAAAGCAGCACCTCTCTGTCTGTAAGGTTTGGGGAGCACACTCAGAATCAAACTGGTATCCATGGGTTCTGACTCATCAATGGTGGTATGATGATTCACATCTGATGACGTATCTATTACACGACCACTCAGTGGATTCACATGATTTTTCAAGAGTCGTTTATATTTATCCATAGGAATGAGCACCTGTTTTTGGATATGTTCCATTACAAAGTCTTCAATAAAGGCCCAACAACCTTCAACACTTAACTAATGACAGCCACACTTTTGGGTAGTAATTGCTTTTGCTTTGTCTTAGATACGGTTTTATCACCAAGAAGACGAAGCACTTTTCTGTGTTTTCTCAGTGCATTCAAATGTTTCTTTGAAAGAGGAACATCGGAATGTAACAGATTATAAATAATCTCTGTCAAGGCTTTTAATTGGCCATCAGTCACACTTCGCAACAGCACCTTCTTTTGAACAGGGGATGTACTCTCCTGCCAAAAGCACAAGAAGTATCCGTTCTGTCTGAGTGTCTTTGACATAATGGCGTTCCGTTCAATGTTCAGCACAATTTATAAGCACAACTGTCTGACTCATGGATGACTCCCTCATTGAACATAGCAAACAAAGTCACTGCTATTTATACTCTCCTCCAGTTGAGTCATTCGTGTAGTGACTGTCATTCACAATGTAGTCCATGGGTAGAGGAGTACCTACCAATATACTTCTATCCTTCCATGTTAGAGTTAGTATGTATCCCACAGTTATTAACAACACAAGTATACACCATAGAGAGATAATGGTACGTTTCAATACAGGGGGGGAGTTCCACGTTGGTTGTTGTAGGAATATTCAGAGACACATGACAGTCTTCAGCTTGAGACTCCATGTCTACAAATGATAAAGTCTGTCTTAATGACGACTATTTATACTCTTGCCACGTACACAACGGGATCTTCCCCTGGGAAAATGCGGGTTCTGAGTCTTAGTTTGTCTTCTGTACGTGTAGACATGTCCAAGACCAAATATCCATAGGGTTGTTTCATAGCATCAGTGTAAGCTTCCACTAATACACCAGCCCGGCCAGGAAATAATTGTCTTCCAAGGGTCATCGTCTGCGAGGTATCACGCACATTCTTGAACAAGACCAAGTACCAAGTGTTCAGGGCTATAGTTCGTGCTGACTTGCCTTGACCATACAAGTTCTGAGTTATAAATATAACACTCAGAAGTCGATGATGACATCCTTGTGTAAATAACAATTCCATGTCCTTAGAACGTAAAAGTTGATGTAAAAGATCATCCAGGATAATGAGTCCATGTTGTCCATCAGAGGAAAACTGTTCAATGTCTGATTCCGTGGGTAATCCCTGTTGGAACACAATGTTTGTCACTGTTCTTTCCATGTCGTCAAACACAGACTGATAAACACATTAACAGTACAGAACTTTTTTGGGTGGGTCCTTCACATACATACCGTTCACATGTTGCAACAGTCCATACACCCACTGCGTCTTTCCTGACCCTGTTGGTCCAGACACACAAATACTGGAACAGGGTTCAAAAGGTGTTAAACTTTGAGTTTCCCACCAAGGTTTAGTCAGATCGAACACAGCTTTAGGACTCAAAGTAATAGCTGACTTGGGTGTAGTGGGTTGAACTTCAATCATTCTGTTCTTCTTTTTGAGCCAAGGTTTCTTTCAATCAGAATCTATCTTGTGTACTTGTGATAAATGATTGGATAGTTTTGAAAGTTGTTTTGCAGTACAGCCAGGCACAGGACAATCTTTCTTGACACGACCCATGTTTTGACTCCTCAGTTCAACTGATAAAACAACTTAGAGGGACACGTATATAGCTTGGGAGGACACTTGAGGGACACAGAGGGACACTTGAGGGACACTTGAGGGACACAGAGGGACACTTGAGGGACACAGAGAGACACTTGAGGGACACAGAGGGACACAGAGGGACACTTGAGGGACACACAGGGACACATACAGCTTGAAGATTAGTTCAGAAGACCCAGTGAAGTAATGGATTGAGTAGTTGATTTGTTAAAACCACAACCCCTACAAACCATTACTATTCAATTACAATTCACGGGTCCTCCGGCCCGGTCTCTGATGATATGACATTGGTTGGCTGGCTGGATAGTTGACTGATGGTGGGATGACTGTTTTTTTAGTTTGATGTTGGGAAGTATTGGTTAGTTGATGATGGGAGGAATAGGCAAAGTATCCAAGTTGGACTGAATGACCCGTTTGTTATAAACCATCTGGTACTTTTTCTTCTCTTCTCTATTGTAGATTTTCTGTTTCCTTTTCTCTCGTGAGATCTTGGAAGGATTGGTTACTATAATGGTTTTGTCTCTTTGAGGTGAAAGTACAATGTCCCGAATGGTTTCAAAATTGATGAGTTGGGTATACTTGAAATTCAAAGAAAAAAAACAGACTTACACACTTGTTTCCCCTTTTTAGTTTCATAACTATAATTCTTGGGCCCTGCAGACAAACTCCTCAGTGTAGTCATTGTTGTCCAGTTCATTGGTAAGATCACCAAAATAATCTCCGAGAGGTGGCTTGTAATCATTAGGTTTGGCTACATAGATCACAGAATCAGTGTCATAATACAACACTTGTTGATCCAACTTTTCTAGGACACTGTATAACTTCAGCCTTGCCCAAGCAGTGGTGAATGTGGCCAAGAAGATGTTGGTCTTGTTATCTTCTGGGACAAAGCTAGATTTGTTGCTATATTCCAACTGTAAAATCCGATCTGTCAGGATGTGAAAATCTGTCACTTCCTTGGTAGGATCTGTCAACATCCGGAAGAACTTTTCTGCTTCTGTGTCATGGATAAATTCTGATTGTTTCATGTTCAAATGCTGTCCAAATTTTCCCCAGAAACTGTTCAAGCATAATTTAGCCAGAGATCGTTTTTTTCTATGCGATCCTTGTCCAGTTGTATACCTTCCTTCTCTCTGTAGTCTGCTATGTATTTCTCCTTGTCGTCTTCCGTTTCACGCCATACTGGCCATCCACTGGCTTGTTGTTTTAATTTCAAGAAGGTGTTGATGTAGTCCGTAAACAATCCACACTCTCCTGTCTCAGGGTTGTACTGGGCTGTTTCGGACCAGTGGTAAACCTCATACACCTTGATCACTTGGTATCCTTTCTCAATGGCTTTCACTATTTCAGGTGTACACCAAGTTCCTAGGATGGCTCTCTGCTCATCTGAATGTTCACAAAGGGTCTGTTGCTCCTTGTCAGCACAGGTACAACATAAAGGAAACTTTAGCTTGCCTTCAGATCGATAGGGGAGTACTGGATGATAGAGTTTTCTAGGTGGTAATATCTTCACCTTGGCAATTCCAAAATAGTGATCCAAAGACTTGAAATTCTTGTGAATGATGTGGGGATGTCCAATAGGGTACTGGCAATACTTGTTGACCCATGGGTAGTGACTTGTAAAGTTCACGTAATGAATTTCTTCACTTTCTTCCACCTTGTAGTGAAGTGTACTGGCATTGGTCCTGCCACCAAAAAAGGAGTCTTGTGGCTCTAAGCGATCCTGTATGTCCAGTGTACTGACAAAAACCTTCATGTCTGGTTTATCCTTTAATTGTTGGTGGAACTCGTGTTCCCAGATGGCAACCACTTTGTAGCCTTTCTGTTTCAGCACCCGTGATTTCTTACAGGTGAGAGCATAAAGTTCTTCCACAGACTGTTTGGTCCTGGGGGGTATGGTGGAGGATCTGTCGTGTGGAAAGCATGTCTTACAACCATGGTAGCAACAACCATGGAATTGCAGTACTGTGTTTGTTTTTGGATAATAAACATCCACTCGGTAGTTGGTTCCAGGCACCTCATGTTCACCTCCATTCAGGGCATGTTGTATGTCAATATTTTCTGAATGCATGATCCATTCTAACCACTGAATGGAAACTTTACTATATTGCCCATGTCCAACATACCCCTGACATGGTACTTGAGCAATAGGGCTTGGAACTGTTTCTGCTTCGTGGACGCCAATACCCCTCTTTTGAAGTTGTCTTTGTGAAATCCATTGACCACTCTCTAGCTTGACATCGTATGACCCATCTCCTTCTTCTTCGGAGGGTCTGGAAGACCTCCAGTTTGTGATACTTTGTCCATCAGTCAGCCTGACATGTTCGTGACGTTTCAGAAACTTGGTTTTAAATATGTTCATGCTTAAAGAGGCTATAGTGATAGAGTTTGCAAAGGGATCAACACCTTCAATGATCTTTCCTTCTGTTTCCTCGCCTGTGGCCTCCATAATCAGTTGCTGAAACTTCAGACAGGCTTCTCTGAGTACAGTGACATCTGAGATACAGTACTCCTTCATTTCTTTAGAAAAATCAAACAGTCCATGTTGTTGGCCGTACCATGACAAGAATGCATCTCTGTCTTTAGCTCCGATGTAGTCCACTCCATACATGTGAGGATCTGGAAAAGCTCCAACGTAATTTTGGTTCTCCTTCAAATTGAACCAATGTGGGAAGTAACCCTTCTTCAGTTCTGTGAGTCCAAAGGCTTTGGGTACGGAGGCCAATTTCATTGGAAGAAAGTTGAGACTGTCTATGATTATGATGTTGAGGCCTTTCTCAATCTGCACTTACATAATTTTAGAACCAGCGTAAATGATTTTGCTTGGATACATGGATTGATCTATCATATACTCCAAAAGAAAGTATCCATCATAGGCTTTGCTATTGTGAGCAATGGCTGTGAAGTCTACATGATTGTCACTGAAGAGCCATCTTGAAAATTTAATGATAGCTCCACCTCCCTTGAAAATCACTTGACGAAATCCACAACTTTCTTCACAGGGAGGTTCCTTAAATTGTTTGGTTTTCTTGTCCCTTGCATTACATGCAGGGCATCTAGAACCACAGTGATGACATTTGGATTCCTCATTGACCGACTCTGTTTTGCAAACAGGACAGACTGACTGAGCCACCAAGTAGTTGGGAACATGTTGACATTTGCCACACCAGGATTGGTGACAATGTTGACAAGTAGATGACTGATGGGGACAGTTATCAACAGGACAGGTAGGACAGGGCCCTTGTGGCGAAAAACCTTCTTCACACATCAGCTGTTCATCCTGTCGGCATTCAAAGTCGCTAAAGATGAATTTAATCTTGGCCTCATCCTCTTCATTGGGTGTCCGGTAACAGAGATGATCTTGTTCCACAACCTGTTGACATCCAGGACATTTCCATTCTCTGCAGTGGTGTAGTTTGGGGTCCCTTTCACTTCGACATAAAACTTTCTTACACATGGTACATTTCCAGAAACTCTCACATTTTGAGGGTGTGTATGTACCATTCTTTATAAAAAAAAATCCAGTTTGGTGGCGCTGGAAACATTCAGGTGATCTACAGGTCATATGGCAATGTCGACAAGTCAATGGAGTACCTGTTTCAGGACACTTTTGGCTATGGCATACAATGCAGGTCTCAGAGCACTTGATCAAACTGGCATAGCCGTTTTGGATATGTAACCGTTTTGATCAAACGCACTTGATCAAACTGGCATAGTCATCAAAAAAATCTATTACGGCCTGCAGATCCATCTGAAATATAATGAGTATTCACCCTGAACCATACTTTACAGTATTGTGTCATACTAATACTTTTCAATCATATTGTGACAACATGACAATTAAATAGTCTATTACTATGCTGATATAACCTTATGCTAATACATCATTCAGAAATGTTCACGTGTGAATCGTTTTGGTCTACAAAGCCGTTTTGGATATGTAACCGTTTTGAGTCTGAACCGTTTTGATCAAGTTTGATAGAACCGGTTTTGATAGTACCGTTTTTAGGCAGAGCCGGTAGGAAGGGGCGTAACTCTAGTCTACTAAAACCACGTGTGTACGATTCCGAGAAATGGAGGGAAAGTGATTTTCATGGTTTAAGTAATGCAAATGTGTGGAATTTATACGATGGATTATTCTATGTCGTGATGGGAATGTTCAGTATTCTGATGGGATCGTACAGTGGACGTACTTTATTCGTGAGAAAAACTCTGGTTCATACCGCTAATGGGAGAAAACATGTTTACATTGGCATGTTGTTTAATAACACCACACATGGCGGTATCATACTGGTATGTATGAACGGATGATTATATAACCCCATCGTCATCTATATTTATATGAGTACAGTATAGTACAAGATGACAGACCTAGATGTGTAGGCAGTGAGGGATTGGCAGTAGGGAAAGTAATGTGGTTCAGGGACTGTGAGACAGACTAGGGTTAGGGGTTCGGGTTAGGGAAACCCAACAGCGCTAATTCATCTGAAAAGGTGCGCCTGGTAAAGTGCAGTACTCCCGTTATTTCAGTTACAATAAAATAGTTGTTGTTTCATTGAAAACACAACTAATAATAAATAACACAAAAACACACACAACAAAAATAATACTGTTAACAATGCCTGTAACATGTGAATCATAATAAAATAAATAATGCAGATACAAAAAACAAACAAATAATATTCATTATGTGATTATAATTTATATAGTGATGAATTATGGTAAAATCACCGTGTCACTTGGTTTTATGTATAAATATAGTTCATAAACACTATTCCAGACACCCAATGAAGAGGATGAGGCCAAGATTAAATTCATCTTTTACGACTTTGAATGCCGACAGGATGAACAGCTGATGCGTGAAGAAGGTTTTTCGCCACAAGGGCCCTGTCCTACCTGTCCTGTTGATAACTGTCCCCATCAGTCATCTACTTGTCAACATTGTCACCAATCCTGGTGTGGCAAATGTCAACATGTTCCCAACTACTTGGTGGCTCAGTCAGTCTGTCCTGTTTGTCGGTCAATGAGAAATCCAAATGTCATCACTGTGGTTCTAGATGCCCTGCATGTAATGCAAGGGACAAGAAAACCAAACAATTTAAGGAACCTCCTTGTGAAGAAAGTTGAGGCTACTGAGGGCATGAGCACCCCTGTTGAGTAAGTAATATTAATTTGAAAATGCTTTAATACTATTGTATGTAATACATGATGTTAAAGTATTAACTTAAATCCAAAAAGGTTTTTGTGTGTGATTATGGCCTTTAACCATTTCGTGTTAATTTAGGTATATTGTTCTCATTTCAGTGATGATGACTGTATCATCACAAGGGTGGACATGCCTTCTACCCCATCCGTCTCCTACCCCATCCGTCTCCAACACCAGTGACGCCACCACCGAGGGGGCATCTTCCCTCTCCTCGTAAGTGTATATTAGATCCATTAAAGTTAAAACAATCTGAAGTAAATGTATTATCATCATATACAGGATTTGTATCTTATTTTTTTCAGACTTATGGGAGTCTTCCAGACCCATATAGAGTGGAGAATGGGGGAGGCGAAGAAACAGATGAAGAGTCCTTATTAGATATTTTAGAAATTATTATTAGAGATTATTAGGTTTTTGTAGTGTTAGTTTTGCAGAGGTACAGATAAGCTGCGTATCTGCGTAAATTACACAAATATTTATGTGAAAACTCAATTCCTATTCAGTCTATTGCGTACCCTTCTATTGCGTATTTTTGTAAATACTCAATAAATTTGATCTTACATGCGTACACACAAAAATGTCAAATCTTAGCTTGCGAACCGGTGGATAGATAAAATAACTGAGGTGTATTGAGAGGTTCTATTTCAATACATGAACTTGGCAACTTGCAGTGTTTTATCGTTTCTCATATAACAGATCAAATAAAAATAACAAACACGTAAACCAACATTTAACCTTTATTATATTTTTACAATTAATGGAAAATGGCAAAATACCCAAATGAGTTTGTGTGAGGTGGGTACAATTTATTTGGTTACTCAAAGGAAAATTAGGATACCCAATTGAGATGAACACAAGCGAGTACATAACTCAGTGACCCAAAAAGTTATCTGTAGCCCTGGTTTTGTATAATTTATTGTATTATGTTAAATTTGTACATATTATCTTTGTGTATATATTGTTAACTTTTGTTCATATATGTGTCCATGGGTACAATGTGTGAAGCCCATTTCTGGTGTTCCCCGCCTTGATGTTGCTGGAATATTGCTAAAAGCGGCGTAAAACCTAACTCAGTCAGTCAGTCATATATGTGTCTTTTGTTTGTGTAAATAAAGGTGCCCAAGGGTGGGCAAATGATTCATTCATTGTGGAGTACAGTTATATCACACCTGTTACTTCACATGAATGGGTTACTTGTCCCAACCCATCAAAACATCTAGACATGCTGGGATAAAGGCTGGTTAATATATTCTCAATATTGGATATACCTGCTGGACTGGATCTATCCGTTCATGGAAATATGTGTGATTGTGTTGCTGGATACATGATACAATGGATATATGCGTGAATCTATCTGTTCATGGACATATGTTCGAAGCTTGTGCTAAGGGATTTCCTATGGATCACATGAGGTAAGTTGTTTCAATTCCCTATTCTGATGTTAGTAAGTTTACACAAATGTGAAGGTACACTTACCTTTATGTTCTGTTGAAAATATATATCCAGTGAATTGCACACAGTATAATCCAAAGATGTTTTGTAATCCAGTGAGAAATATCCACAATGTTTAATCACTCCAGAGATGTGAAGATGAGAGGCCGAACTATTGAAAATATAAATCCAATAAGAAATACACCAGTATGTATATCCACAATGTGTAATCACTAGGTCTAGGGACTGAGCTGTGTATGACATGGGGCTGTTTGGTGGACTTTATATACCCACCAGAGTCTAAAAATAAGTTGTGGGGAATCCTATGTACGACATGAGTCATGGTCTAAATATAGACTCTTCTAAAAATATGTATCTGTACAAGCCCTTAAGGTTTTGATAAATATAATTAGAAATATCATATAAATGTGGGGCTCGGTGGGGAGCTGGTTAAAGCGCCAGGCTAGTGATCCAGCGTGGTTGAGGTGCCGGGATCGAGCCCACCTGTGACCGGGTGTATAAACCTTGGAGTCAACATTGTGTGCAGACTCTTTTAGTGTTGTCACAACCCCTAGTGTACAGTACACAACCCTGTGCACTTAAAAGAACCCACGAATCCGTTGGTATATGACCAGATGGTGGCCACATGAATACATGCAAACACCTAGTTGCGGGTACAGCAACGTGCAGTGAACTTGGACAAAGTACTGTGACTATGTGTCCACCCAGCTCATCGTTAAGATGAGAAAGCCACAATAACTCGGTGCGCCTAGTGGCTGCAAGAGTTGTATACTCCACAGGAAATTGAGATTGATAATACGATGTGCCGTTGAGATTGAAATCCAATGATCGAGGGATAAAAATACCAGCGCCTTGATTAGTGCGCTATATAAATATCCTATAATAATAAATCATTCTTTAAAATATTTGATGTTTAAGTACGCCCAATACTCTTATATGGATCAGAAATATGGGGTTTGAATAATTATGAATCTTTAGAAAAAGTCCATTTATATGCATGCAAAAAATATCTCGGTGTGAAATCTAGCCCATGTAGCACTATGGTATATGGCGAGTGTGGTAGATTTCCATTATACATATATTCTACTAGTAAAGTTATAAAGTACTGGCTACGATTGTTAACTATGCCATGTCATAGATTTCCTAAGAAATGTTATAATATGATGATAGTATATGATAAAAATTTGGAAAAGAAATTGGGTAACTAATGTAAGGGAATTGTTATTCATAACGGGATATGGTTATGTTTGGAATAATCAAAACGCCCAGCCAGAAATTCTTTTATTATTTCACTGACCCAAATAATGAAGGACATCTATCAACAAAAATGTCTTGAATCTATCTATCTATCCTCTAAATGTCTGTATTATAAACATTGGAAATCTGAACTATGCCAAGAAAATGATTTATCAAAAATAACTGTAAAGAAATTCTGTGTAGCTTTATCCCGTTTTCGCTTCTCATCACGCGACTTGTTTGTTCAAACTGGGCGTTACCACGTAACCATAGAATTTGCAACCTCTGTAATGTTAATGCTGTAGAAGACGAATACCATTGTCTTTTTATCTGCCCTGCCTATGAATACCTCAGAAAGAAATACCTAACATCCTACTATTATACCCATCCAAATGAAATAAATATGACTAAATTATTAACAAATGAAAATACTATTGAATTACAGAACCTGTCAATGTATATCTATATTGTATTTATACATAGCAAATCGGCATTAAATTTGTTATCTGTAAATATTTGACATATGCTTTTCTGCTGCTCACTTGTAAATATTGTGTTTATAAATGTGGCTTTTAAGTACCGAATAAAGATTGATTGATGCCTTAGATGTTAGCCGAATGTGGGTAATTTTTAAACTGTAGGCTAAGTTGAATCAAAGCTTTCTGACCTCTACCCCCCTGACCTCTGCCCCAACTCCGATAGCACGACCTGTCATCTCATAAGGTGCCGGTTGCTCAGATGATCACGTGACGCTCTGTGCCTGTCATTCTCTTTCTTGTCGCTGGACGTGTGTTGTTCTCTCAGTTAGACATTATTTGATTGTCAATATGGGTAAATCGAATCGGAGTTCTTCTAAGAAAAGCAAACACTGTGATCAGTGCAACAGCAACTTTTCCGCTGCTGATCCACACGCTTTGTGTGTGGATTGTATAGGCTGTTGTAGTTGGTTACATGGGTGTTCTGTTTGTTCACACTTCAATGATGATGATTTTTCTGAATATCGACGGGTTGCATCTAGACCCAGATCAGACAGAGATCGGCGTTGCTGAAGGTCCTTCAACTTCTAAGCGTGCTAAATCGGAACGCTGTTCGAAGAGAGCAGTTCGTCGATCTAAATCACCGTCCCCGGACGAAGATTTTTCAGAGGTGGCCCCAGATGCCTACTTGAGCGAGAATCTCCGTCGTCTCTTTCGTCCTCAAACATCTAGTCCCGTCTCCAGACAAGTTTTATCTCCTCCGAGAGTGCTAACAACCTCTGCAGCACAGTCCTTGGTGTCGACTCCTAGTTTGCCTGAGGTGGTTGTTTCCAGTGCGCCGCTTTGGTTGAGTGCTCCAGCCCCCTCTACTATTGTGGTGTGCGCTTGGTGAAAGCTTTCACTCTCATGCGGCGAGTGCAGTCATTTCGTGGCTTTCAACCACAGGGATCAGTATGGCGCTTTCAACCTATGTGTCGCTGGCTTCCAATGCGGCGCTTTGTTTCAGTTCGGCGCTCTCATATCCTTCTGTGGTGACATCATGCATGACGGCAGTATCCAGTGCACGTACCTTGCACCACCTGTCTATGAACCACCGCCTATTTTCAGTGTGCCGCTTACTACCAGAGCGGCACTTGTTTCCAGTGCATCGCTTACTTCCAATGCGCCGCTTACTTCCAATGCACCACTGGTTTCCAATGCGTCGCTTACTTCCAATGCACCACTGGTTTCCAATGCACCACTGGTTTCCAATGCGTCGCTTACTTCCAATGCACCACTGGTTTCGAATGCGTCGCTTCAACCTTCTACAGCGGCGGGTGTGAGTTCTGCGCCTCCTCCCGGAGCGCCGCTCTCTCTTTCGGCGGGACTCTCCACTAGGGAACTACCTTCTACGGGAAGCGGTTTGCCACCTAGTGCGCTGCTTGCTACCAATGCGATGCTTACTTCCCATGCGATGCTTTCAACTACAGCGTTAGCTCAATCAACGGGGTATTCAGGCGCTTCATGATGAACAGTTCCGTCATCCTCCTATGTCAGACATGAGAGTAGTTGTACCTCCGGTGACTTCGGCTGTTCCCGTATCTACATTTACGGCTCCTTCCTGACCTATTTTACCGGTGTCCTGGAATCCAGCGTCCAATGTACCGGTATCTCAGCCGTTTGATTTTGACTCCATTGTTCGGGCAGTAGCATCAGCGCTGGGTCAACAACCTCCAGTTCCTACTACGAGCGTTCATTCAGTTGGCCCTTCTACCGCTCCTGTTCAATCTCTTGATGTCGCCCTCCCAACTGCCAGGCCTTCCCTACTTCCAGATGGGACTTCAACGCCAGAGGTTAGTGTTGATGTGGTCAATCGTCGCAGAGTTGTTGGTTTGATTGCTGATCAACTTTTGTCTACCTCAGTGAAGTCCTCGCCAGCAGACTTGTTGACTTCTTTGATATGAAACCGGCGATTTCATTTCTATTACATTCCCCGCCGACTCTGTATTACTCAGCTTGGGGCTTCATTAGATGAGGTGTTTGACAACCTTCGAAAGTCAAGGATGGGTTTTCGCTCGCTTTAACCTGGAAGGCCCTTTCATGTTCATGGGTTCTCCACATTGATTGCATCCCAGCCTGTAGATGATGATGTTACTTTACTGGGAATGAAACCAAGAGCGTATTCTCCCTTTGATAGAGGACAAATGAATTATTATGCTTTGATGCTGCCATTCGCAAGATTTTGGTGCCCTCAACATGATGTTAACAGCAACAGAAGCAGTGGCCATGTGTGTATCTGTATCATGCAGTGTCTCCTTATGTGGTTTTATTGAAAGGTCAATTTCAAGTTATATTGGATCAGTTTA